TATAATAGATTAAATTTAGAGAAACGAAAACCAAAAAAGTTCCAGTGGGTCTCAAAATTTAAGCAAAAAAATATTATTTTTTTAAACTTTCAAAAAAAAAAGTTCCTATAAACATAGTTTTGGAGTTTTTCTGGATAGTTTTACAGTTACAGGATGCCAAAACTTTAAAACATAGGACTTTTGTAATTATTTTAAATACTATATATTTTCAAAACTACATCTAAACATCAGTGGGTAAAATTTAATAGTAAATTGGATGATATAAATAATTTATTAATTTTATTCTTAATCTAATATTAATAAAGTCGCATTTATCTCATCAAGGAGACTGAAATCGAGAAAATATAAAGATATAACTTTTAGTCGGTATTAAACTGCCGACATAATTTTGCTAAAAAGAGAGAAAAATCAGTGGCATACATGTTTTTTTAGACAAAGATTCCAGTGATAACCTATATGCATTTTTAAGCATTAAAGTATGTCGCACTTATAGTAACTTTTTCCCTCGAAATTTCATTCGAATCGCTAAAAGCACTTGGAAGAAAATTATAACTAATCGAAAAAAAATGTAGAATTTAACCCCCTGTAGCTATGAAACAAAGCAAAATCAAACCCATGATGATATGAAAAATAACGTTTTAAAACACCCTGTGTATGAGTGGAATTATTGAAGTACTTTTGTACCTTTTTGTGTTGATTAATTATGATGAATTAATTTAACGCTAATTAAAGAACAATTTTTGTTGAAATCAATATTTACAAACAAAATAAAACAAATAATGCTTTATTGTACAAAAAGTCAAAACACCTTCATTGACAAAGCACTCACAAAACAAACAAAAGCACAAAAAAATATATACAAACAGCAAAAAATACACAATATAAATCATACAATTCAATAAAATTTAAGTCATTAAATTACAAAAAAAACATACATTACAATTACAGAACAGTAAGCAGTAAATAGATATAATTTTAAGAGTTATAAAATATTAAATACTTGACCTTTGACCAGTGTGTGAGATGATCAAAATTTCAAAAATTCAAAATTGTTCATGATTAAACATCAACATAAAAGTCGTTTATCGCATATAGGGCTCTCTCCAGTAAGTATGATTTCAGAGCTTTGCGAAATGCGGGAAAGAATGAAAGCGACTTGATATTCAAAGGCAGATGATGGTACATTTTTTTGGCCATTGTACAGTATTGAACCTTTAACTAGTTCTGAGCTCGGGGTTGGCAGATAAAGATCGTGCTCCGCATTCCTAAGTGGATCGTTATCAGATGGCCTTTCGGGAATAGCAGATATGTGCTTGCGGATTAAGCAAACGGATTCAGTCATTTTGAAAATTTTAAAGAAATTCTAGCAGTAAGTTCTACTGTGAGTTCTCTTTTAATCGAGATAAAATATGACCAACGGTGCTCACCTTTTACTACGCCACTGTTCCAAAACGCAGATTCTTTCTTCTTTCAGACAGGGATATTCAAAACTGAATTTAAAACGCCGTTAATTTTTTTTGGTCTGTTTTTTCGCTTTCTTCAGCCATCGCTTTGAATCTAGCTAAGCGGATTTGAGGCTATTTGGATGTTGTTGCCGGCAGCAGCGAAATATTCGTTTCGGAGTGGCTTACGCGTCGCGCTTAGTCTAGAAAGCGACAGCTAAAAGAGCCATTAGAATAACGGGTCGGAGCAAAGCCTGAAAAATGCATCATTAGGAGCTTTTCACCAGTACAAATAAATGCTATTGGAGAAAATTAGAATTTAAAAATACATTTATTTGAAGCGATAATGTAGTTGGGAAGTTAATCACCTTATAGATCTATTGTGTCCTCCTTTCTTGATATAACTCATCATATAGTCTCAGCGCTCTGATAAAAGCCAGTATCTGAGACGGTTTTACAGAGATTAGTTCTCCATCTCTGATTTCAGTCGTGACAAAGTTAATGGAACGAATGGTTGTCGTCTCGGCGCACTCAGCGACGCGGTGTTCTGATTTTCCACATTTTCCACAAAAAATCTACATTCGCCGTTGTTTCTTAGCTTCAATCTACTGAAGTGTTCATTGAGGAGACTGTTAAAAACCGCGCGGCAATCCGGAGATTGTTCATACTTAAATCAACACAAAAATCTTTGTTTTTTTTAGGCGCACGTCTTTTCTGCATTACTCTATTGATGTGAGAGCTGGACACTAAATTCACAGACCGAAAAGAGAATAGAAGCCTTTGAAATGTATGTGTACAGACGGATGCTGCGAATCTCATGGGTACAAAGGAATATTAACGATGAAGTACTCCAGCGCATGCAGAAACAAAAAGAGACACTGAACACAATCAAGGAAAGAAAAATGTAATACCTGGGTCATGTGATGAGAGGTGATAGATACGAAATACTGCGCTCCATAATAGAGGGAAAAAAGTGTAAGGGAAAAGATCAGTAGGAAGACGCCAGAAGTCTTGGCTAAAAGATTTAAGGAGATTTTTGAACGCTCGTCTGCGGAAATCTTCCGGGCTGCAGTTTTCAGAGCCGCAATTGCTATTTGGATCGCCAACCTTCGACAGGAGTGGGCGTGATAAGAAGAAGAAGTCCTGAGAAATTTCCTCAAGTGTCGTAGACTATTAGATGATTTCTATTCCAGGTTACGGAGTTTTCCAGATTATTCATTTCTGGTTTAAGTTGGTTTCCACTTGGGAAGCACTACAGTTCTGGTTCTCAATTAGTAGAGTATTCGCTCCTTTTCTAGCTAGATCGTTTGCTTTTTCATTTTCTTCTATTCCTTGGTGGGCACCCTGTGCAAAAGGACTTTATTTGTGTCGAATAGTACTCTTGTATGGGTTTTACTAAGCAAATATATTCAAACCACTGTAGCGCTTTTTTTTAAACAACTACCACTGCGAACGGCAGCTTTTCATCGGAGAGCAGTCGTGGATAAGGTATTTCACTGGAAAGAAAACTAATTAAGAACAATAAACAAAAAAATAGATATTGGGCGCCAGGCATGTACAGAGAAAGAAAATACAGTTGTATAATACTTAAAACGAATGATTATATTTATTCATGATGAATTCTGATGGTAAATAGCATTGTACAATTTTAATAATTATTAGTGGTTATTTGTTGAGTAAAACCATGTATGTAAATAATATTAAATATGTTCTATGAAAAGACTATGAAAAAATACAATGCGTGTAACGTTATAGAAAATATAAGAAAAGTAGCATTACTTTATTTAAATTGTTAAATTTTATGCGGTGTTAAATCTGATGTGTTGCAACCTGTAGATTCTAGAATCTATATCTCGTTATTCCTCTGTTAATATAGCGCAATAATAATATCTATAGAAAGTAATACTATTACAAGGCGTAATATAATGAAACCTAAAATCTAAATCACATTGTAACTACTGAATCGACATAAATGTTCTTAATAATCTAACCACTAAATATAGTCTGTACTGATATTATTTAAAAATGTACGTTACTGTTTAAGACTGGAAATATAGAAAATCTAAAAACATAAAAACTAGAACGTAAATCTACACTTAGCTATTCTTTATGTAATCTTGCTTCAAACAGTAGCAGCGTGAGGGTGGTCTCGCATCTCTGTACTCAGCCATCCAACACAACCAAAGGGGCCAGAATGAGACACCATAAATTGGTACAGCTGTAACTAACTAGCTTTACAGCTGGGACCGAAGCAGCATGGGACTCAAGCTACATCCACGCTGTGGCACTTATATGTAAAGGAAAAATCGTTCTTACTCGACACTCGTCCACAGGACATCCCAGGTATTACATATGATAATGTCCGTACATAAGACACTACCTGTACCTTGGACACAGTCCGGTACCTTGGACACAGTCCGTATCTTGGACCCTAAAATATGAAACTCTTGTTTAAAACCAAACAAGGTCTAATAAACAAAATAAACCTACCTCAGAAATACCTCCACGAGGGCTCAATAAATAATAAACAACATGTCCCTTTCTTCCATGTGACATTCTGGAGGACAAAAAAGAAGTGGGACATTCAACGTGTCAGCAAATACAAATACCAAGTTGGGACATCGGTAACTCTACCCTAAAAATATTCAATAATAATATCGAATCTAAAAGGATAATATTTCATCTTTACCTGTTGCTTTGAAATAGCAGCTGATTCAGATTATACAGCAAGATTTAAATAATCACCATTTCCAAAAGCTGGGATACAACAGAGCGTCAAGACAAAGTGAGGTTAAGCACGGAGAGAGTTGACAGAAGCGATGCTGACAGCGCCTCCTCAGAGCGATAACAGGGTTGTGTCGAACGATAACAGGGTTGGCGACTAGGGAACGTAAAAATTACGCGTCAAATAAACTATCCGGCCTGAACGAGAGGGAATCCGGTGATGAGAGGCCAGACATCATATAAAAAAGACATGTAACGAACTAAAAACGTTACACCACATATAATTAAGTTGTTTACCATCGATTTTCTTTTGATTACAGTTTTATACCGAAATTTACAATTTCTTTTATTTTAATTTTAATTCAGTTAATTAAGAGACGCATTAATCATTTTCACTTGTTTGTGAAACATGTTCATATGCAATTAACTGACGTCCTTAATATAGAAATCTAGTAAAGTTATGAATATTGACAAATGACTTGAAATCGCAGTCAAATAGAGTTCTAACGCATTTAGTTGTACCATGAAATGTATCTGAAAGGTATCTGAAATTGAAGTTTTAGTAGTTGATTGATTACCGTTGAACTATTAAAACTTCAAATTATTGACTGGTGGTATTGGTATATTAGAATTTTTTTTCACAAACATATCCAGTTAAAATTAATTTAAGTCTTCCAGTATTAGATGATTTACAAAAGCTAGCTAACGTGCCAATTATATGCTTGGTTGTCATCTTTCTTTAAATTTATTCTACTAACTCGCTCAAAAATTATCAGAAAGAGGACATACATGATAAAGAAACATTTCTTTACTTCATTTTTTCTTCGTGTTTAGGATTTCTCAAAGTTGAACCGGAAGAAGCTAAGATTCAAAGCAACTTCGGCCTAGTCGACCAGTTGGCAGCATTGCTATGGATCAAAGCAAACATCGAAGCTTTTGGTGGTGACCCGACCAAAGTAACATTGATGGGACATGGTACTGGAGCGGTATGCGCCAGTCTTCTTACCATCAGTCCCATGGCTATACATGAAGGAAAAAGTAAGTAATTTTAATATATTTCGAAATTTTTTTGAAGAAACTTATCTCAGATTATTGAAATTGAAGCGAGAGCCATTCACTGATTTTACATGAGAGCACCGGACGGCTGGTAGTTATCAGGTATTGTAATATATTTGAATATTACTTATTGTAGAATAAATGATGAAATCAAATTGTTGGTTTCTAAGTGTAAAATACCTTATTTATATATTAAGGAATGTGGTTTTTAGATTTTCTTCCACTTTATTTACTTTAAAATATTGGCAGATTCTGGTCACATAAGAACTCCAATTACTTTCACCCACTCTGAATGCTTCTAATTTTCCAATTGACATTTTCTTCAAACTTAATTTCACTTAATAATTTATTTATTGGTTTCGTTTACCGACTGCGCCAGTATAAAGTACTTAGGTTTTATAATTTATATATTTATTAATTTAGATATATTTTATAATATAACGAAAGCCAACTGCGAAGTCTTTATTCTCAAGTTTTACATATATTTATAAACTATCAAACCACATTCCTTAATATATAAATAAGGTATTTTACACTTAGAAACTAACAATTTGATTTCATCATTTATTCTACAATAAGTAATATTCAAATATATTAGAGGTATTTGCCGTGTATTCTATACTTTTACTAGGTATATATCATAGGATTTAACAATTTATCGCCCTGCAGAGTTTATACATTTTATAGGGACCATTTAGATCTACTATAATATTGTAAAATCGTAAAATTAATCCCTGGACCCTTCAATTATATAATTAAAAAATGTATTAATGCAGTTGGTTATTAGAAATCGTAGACATACTGTTCTTTAACCATGCTAGTTTTAATCATCTATAGATGATGCTAACATTAAAAAGGTTAGGGAATCATACCTCTAGTGTTCGAGATAATGTGTATTGTAGTAAATTAGTGTTATTTTCTTAGGGAATTTCCACTAAATGAATAACTATAGCTTTAGAATTTTACTGAATATTTAAATATTGTATGCTTATGAAGGTTAGAAAATTATATCTATTATTCATAGGTTTTTATTAGCTTCGCAGACCTTGGTAAAGCTACATTAATATTAATTTGATACAATCAACCTGCTGTATTAACGGACAGGTCTAATTGGAGTCTACTTGGAAACTCAATAAATTAGAAATTCTGTGATATATAATTTTAATCAGCTGGAATTAAATATACTTATCTAATATTAGGATTAAGGCAGAAAGTAATTAATAATAATAATCATAATAATGCTTTGATTTGGATTAAAAATGACTCAAGAAAATTTACTATGTTGCCTTCGGGTATGCTTCAAATTTGACATTCTTGGCCAAATTTCGAAAAACTTGACAAATATACCATGTGCGTCTCAAAAGTGGCTCACTCCTATAACTTTTTTATTTTTTCAGATAAAAAAACGAGATTTGGTATGTTAGTACATGTCATGAATTAGGATTGATTGACGGATTCAATTGTTTTTTTTTTTTATTTAAATATTTATCAGTAAAATTAGAAAGCTACAACTTTTATTTTTAAATGGCATCCCTCAGTATTTTTTTTACTTTTATTCGATAGAAAATGACATATCATATGTCAACTTTTGACATATTCGCTCAAAACAAATTGTATTTTAAATTCCAATCTAGATTGCCATGCCTGTATTAAAAACACTAATTTTTTAATCAAGAATTGGAAAAATAGATTTGATCGTCAATGTTTTTACCCAATCTTGTCCTCTGGCCGGCTTAAAGATACCCAAATCATTATTTTTAATCATATCTAATTTTTCTCAAATGGAACGAGTGTAGCTTATTATTAGCATATTTGGAAAAAGCATTTTTTTACGAATAATTTGATACCACATACTTGTTTTTTTTTTTTTTTTTTTTTTTTTTTTATTTGAATATTTTGAAATGCTATTTTTAATTGAAAATGTCAAGGTTGACATATGATATGTCATTCTATTCAGGTGACATTTTCCTATCGAATAAAAGTAAAAATTCTGATGGTGCCATTTTAAAATCAAGTTTTAGTAATTTCCGGTTAAACTGGAAGTGACCGACAACAATAATTAATTGAATACGACAATCAGTTCTAGTTTATGTCATATGCTTACATAACAAATCTCGTTGTTTAATCTGAAAAAATAAAAAGAGTTTTTTTTTTTTTTTTTTTTTTATTAACCCTGTATAAATAATTCTTCCACATATCAAAGTGACATCATTTCTATACATTTCTTATCTCTAATTATCTCAATATATAGTTTTAAGTTATTTAAACAATTTTTTTATATAATATTTTCATTGTAATTTGCTCAAGGACCATATAGAGGCAATATCTAACCAAACAATCCTATCAGTAGGCTTTGAAAAAGACACTTTGACGTTTAGTATTGCACAAATATGAATTTTATCATCCATAAATGCGGAAGTTATTGATACTTTTTATCTATTTTTTACAAATAAATGTATTTTTCTTTAAAAATTAAAACAGATTAAATAAATTTAACTGAATACCTATATTATACAATATACATCTACTATAAACCTTATTACGAAGCTTTAATCTCTTTTTGATTTGTACATATTTAAATGTATGAATTTGTTTAATTAGAATATGCATTGTTTCGATCTATATACATAATGAAAATTATTTGTTAGTTCCCTATTCTGTAACCGCGAATTAATCACACTGATGATAGGCTTAAACACATATAAATTAATATTAATAATTTTTTTTAATTTTCTGTCAAATTGTTGTAATGTCAAACTTCGTTTGCAGAGAGTCGCTACGAAACGCTGAATACACGGTTCTGTGATATGTTATTTACATAACGTCGAGCTGGTTTTCACCAATAATTTCTATTTTTATTTATACATAATTACGGATAAATGTTAAAAGCTTTCCGGCTTGAATGTTCAGTAAATTAATTTCGAATTAACCCAATGTACACCCAAAATAATTAAGCTCGCTAAAAATAGGGATGGTCCGTCCGGAAGTCTAACTTCTTTACGCGCGTTAAAAGTAAAAATTCAAGGCCGTGACACACTAGCTAGCGTCACGACATGCGTCAGGAAAAGTGGTAATGGCGTGCTGCCACAACTATCCCATTTGGGGTAGACCCACCTTTGTAAAATAATTTAGCTCACTCTAGGTAACGATCTGTGACAAACGCGGCTAAGAAAATCACTAGCAATAAACTTGATACATTCCCTGTGTAATAATATCTTCACAGTGTTAGAAGTAAATTTTCAAGTGGATATTTCATCGATAGGTCTGTATGTTCTGTAAAACAATAGCTATTTTTTATACAACACTATAAAATAGTATTTAAATTAAACGATAATGCAATCTTATCGTCGAGAAGTAAAACAATATTTTTCCATATGAGTTACGTTTCTAAAATATATTCAGAAATTATTATTTCAAGGAACTTATTATGAGTAGAAAAAATATTGTGCTGGGTTACAGTTGGTTCTATGTAATTTGGACAAAAAATAAAGCTGTCTCTTTTAGTTGCCTTGGAATCAATATATACACACACCGGAAAAGTTTAGGTATACAATTTTATCCAGCCAGTGTCAGTAATTTTATTAATTTGCATTTTGATATAATAAAATTATAATAAACAAATAGTTTATAGGACGTATTGGAAATAAAAACGCGAAATTTACCGAATTTTTCAAATTTACCTTGATTTTATTGAACTCGTAATATTGACACATTTTTTTTAATTCAAACTGTGGAATGGAAAAAAGATTAAACCCATTTTACCAATAACGGGTATAACCTCCTCTACTGTTCATTACAGCCCTACATCGTCTCCATGCTTAAGGATCAGGTTAATGATCTCTACTTGAGGCACAGCCTGCTACGCTGCATTCACGGCCCGAACCAGATCTCTACAAGTTCTAATGAGGCATACCAACTCCCTCAAAATTCTCTTTGACCGTGTCCCATAAGTGCTCGATGGGGTTGAGGTCAGAGGATTGTGGCTTGGCCAGGGTGTAAGATGTTTAATTGATGAGCATTGATAAACCCACTTACCACTCTGGCTGTATGAGGCCGTGCATTGTTATGCATGAGAATGAAGTTACCCCCAAAATCATTGGCATACACGACAGGCTCAAGAATTAAATCACGATATGTGATTCCTGTTAGAAAACCTTTCAAGAAAAACGAGACTTCTTTTTCGGCCTAACTGGACTCCTCCCAGACCATAACTGTTCCACCTTGATATTGGTGCACTTTCTGAACATAATCCAACCGAATAAAATTACCCGGTTCTCTCCATACCCTAAGCCCTCTCGAATCTGGATGAATTCCAAAGCGTGACTCATCCGAGAAGAGAACATTGGCCCATTGTTCATTCGACCACTGAACATGATCTCGAGCCCACAAATATCGTATTCCTCTCGATTTCCTCTCGTTAAGGGTTGAGTTACCCAGGGGCGTCTGCTTCTAAGTTGACCTCTCTTAATCTACTGCGAACAGTGTCAGGACTAACGGTTACTATGTGTCCTGGAGAATTAAACTAAGCTCTGGTGCTGTAAGAGTCGGTCAGCGTCGAGCATTTAATTGTAAAAATGATCTTGCTGAGGGTAGTAATGCGATGTCGCCCTGTGTGCCTTTCAGCAAAATCACCACTTTCACGGTAGCGTGCACTTAATCGCGATATTACACTTTGCGTTGTATTTAATGCTCTAGCTACGTCGATTTGGCGCATTCCAGCTTGGAGCATACCCATGGCCCTAGCATTTCGTCTCTGTTAAATGTCTACGCTCCATAATGTCGTTTAATGCTAAATGATATTTAATGACCAATATTGATGAATCGAAGCAGCACCGGCTTACAAATATGTGATTGCTTATTGAAACATTTATTTTTAACTTTAATAAAATGGTATCCCTAGATTCTTTTCCGGTGTGTATTTAGTTTCTCTTTCGTATCGATTGCTGTTTGAATTCGAGCCAGAAATGGCTCAAACGAAATAA